GCACCCCAGGATCCCATTGGCCTTCTTGGCCACAAGGGCACATTGCTGGCTCATGCTTAACTGGTTGTCCACCAAGTGGACACCTTGTCCACCAGGTCCTTCTCGGCAGAGCTACTTTCCAGCAGGTCAACCCCCAGCCTGTACTGCTGCATGGGATTATTCCTGCCTAGGTGCAGGACCCTGCACTTGCCTTTGTGGAACTTCAGGAGGTTCCTCTCTGCCCAGCTCTCCAGCCCCTCCAGGTCCCTCTGAACGGCAGCCCAGCCCTCTGGTGTGTCAGCCATTCCCCCCAGTTTAATATCATCAGCAAACTTGCAGAGGGTGCACTCTGTGCCTTCCTCCAGGTCATTGATGAATATGTTGAACAAGACTGGACCCAGGACTGACCCCGGGGGGACACCGCTAGCTACAGGCCTCCAACTAGACTCTGCACCACTGACCACAACCCTCGGAGCTCGGCCATCCAGCCAGTTCTCAAGCCACCTCACTGTCCACTCATCCAACCCACGCTTCCTGAGCTTATCTATGAGGATCCGATGGGAGACAGTGTCAAAAGCCTTGCTGAAGTCCAGGTTGCACCCAGAATATCCTTTGGCATGGACTTCCAGGAGTCTGCTCCTTATGGGGAAAAATACTTCCATATGTTAATACAGAACCTGACTTCCACTAGGTTGATTTGATGTCCTTTCAGTTCTTTAGTGGGAAGAGGAAACGAACATTTCATGTATCTCATAGTCTCTTATTCCTCCCTCGTTCTTTTCCTGACAGAAGAGTCCTACCCTGTTGAAATTTCCCTTTCACAGCTGCGTTTTCATGCTTTTGATTGTTCTTGTTGCCTTGGTGTGAATCTTTTCCAGTTCTATTGCATCCTTTTTGAACAGGGAGGGAACAGAATTGCCAGCACTCTTTGACAACTGAACGTCCCATAGATTTGAGCAGTGGCGTAATGTTGTATCTATTTTTGTTCTTTACTCCTTTTGTTAATAATTCTGGAAGTTTGGTTTGCTTTGTTGATCTCTGCTAAGCATTGAAATGATCTCATCATCAAATTATCAGTTATCTGTTATAATCCCAAGTTCTTTCTCCTAAGTAACAATTGGAACTTCATAGTCTAAGATTAGGGGTATTTTTCCGTTAGTAGAGTCTACGAATAATATGTATTAGTACTTAGAGTACTGAGAGTTTACTACTGGTGCTTATTATTATTTCTACTGATTTTTTTTTAATGCGTATGTGAGACTTATCAGCCTGTGGTTCCCTACATCTCCTCTGGAACTGTCTTTAAAAACCAGCATTGCGTTTGCTATTTTCCAGTCCTCAGATAACGAAGGTAGTTTAACTGAGACATCCCCACTACAAATTCAGCTCCTATTTCTTCTCTGAGTTCCTTTAGAACTCATGGGGTGAATACTGTCCAGTGTTGGTGAGTTGTTATTAGTTAGTTTGTTAATTTGTTCCATAATGTCTACGAATACTTCAATATTACAAGGACAAGGCTCTAAAAGTAAAACCTGCAGATATTACAGAAGTGAAAGATGCATTTAGTTTTAGTCAAACTTTAGTTTTCAGGTTCCAATCTCTTACTGTTGTATATGTTAATTTTTCCACATTTTCCAAACTCCCATGCAGCAAAGACTGCTACTGCTGTATAGAAGAATAAAATTATGAATTGGCAAAAACCTACGTTAAATAACTCTCTAGATTCAGAACAATGCTATTACACCTCTTAGTGGAAGGAAGTTGTCATAAAGCATACATAGCTTTTTCAGTAATGTAAACTGATGGTGCAGCTTGACAGTTCCAGTACTTTAGAAGGGAACAGTAGCGTATTTCTCTAAATAATTTGCCTTGAAAGTATTTTTCAGCAAAAAGCTAATTGATCGCATTTTATAAAGAGGAGTAATTGGAATATGACACATCAGTTAGATAGCTGGAAATAAATCCTTAGGACTAAAGCCCTCAGTGCTAAACCAAAGTTGGCTAATCTCTGACAGCTGGTTCTTTTACTATTTACCACTCATCATCTTTAAGCACTTCAAAATTGCACGAAGCTATAGACAAAGTGTAAACTTTGTCATCGGAAAGCTGAAATCGCATAGTCTGAGTTCATTCCACAAGCACTAGATGGAGCAGTTTTAAAATCAGGAGTTTTGCATGTGTCCATATCTGTGCAGAACATTTTTAATATATGTGGTCTTAACTTTTAATTTTATTATTCTATAGGATGCATACTTTATAGGAAAAGTAAGTTCTATTAAAAATCAAGCTTACCAAAAGTTTATAATAAAGTGAAATTTTGCTGGAGTATTTTTATAAGGCATGAGCAGTAAAACATTTTATAGTTTTGTCCTCCTGTCAGCCATATTATAGACTACTTCAGTTTACTAAAAATTAATAATCAATGCTCTTCAGATTTTGCAGCATTAAGTCTAGACTTTTCTAGTTAAAAGTCACGGTGACTGACTCTTTATTGTCAGTTTTCAGAACTTGTGTGTTGCTGTAGTTAGGTAAAGCAATTGCAAGACCCAGTTTATTATGTAGCTCTTGCTCTTCTCTTCATCTGATTTTCTGGTATTATCTCAACTTGTCATCTTTCAATTGTCTTTCAGGCTTTGGGAAAGAACAGGCAGAGACCATTGTATCAGCACTAATAACTCTGTCAAATGTCAGCCTAGACACAGTCTACAAGGATATGGTGACCCAAGCTCAGCAGGTGAAAAGTCATACATAGCTATATAAATATAATGATGCATATTTGCGTATTTAAAAGACAGTCGAGCAACTTGCCGTAGTATACGCTTTCCTGAGATAGATTTTTCCTCAGTTTCTAACTGCTATTAAACTATAAAAGGATCACAATGTCTTACATGTAACAGCTTTCTTCTCACAGGAACCTAAAGTGCTTTCTCAATGCAGCTGCAGTGTATAAGTCTAGTGCAGAGATTGCTTCATTTGCTACTGAAAAACTCTGAGGTGAAACAAAAATTTTAAGTGCTTCACAACAGCTGAGGGTAGAAAAGAAGTTTGAAAGCATTCCTGAGAGATAACAAAACTACATAAAATAGCAGAAAGTTGTCTGATTTTTTTTTTTTATTGAACGATAGTAAAAATGCCAGCTTTGTTCATACAAACGCTGTATTTCTTGTGCTTCGTTATTTTCTGGTTCATAAACCAAAAACTGCTTTCATGATTTCAGTTCTGCATTTTCGTCTCTAAAGCTTTATCTACTCTAGAAGCTAAACACGGCCACGGCATGGGCTCAAGCATCACCACACGGTAGTCGACTGTTAAACTGTTAGTGCAGCACTGGCCTGATTTTGCCCTGGGCCAGCTGTCAGTTTCCCTGACTGGGGCACAATTTATGGGAAGGCATAGGGCCAGAAACTCTCCAAGACGGGATGGGCAGAGCCACAGTGTTTTAGGAGCATGAGATTTTAGCCATCTGGGCATGAGCTGTGGCATGCCACTTGCCCTCAGGAACAGCCAGGGGGCCCTGACTTATTTGTTTATATAAACCTAGCTATTGGCACTGGTTGGTTCAACACCTTCGTCTGCATGCAAGCCAAGTACCGAGCTGTCGTCTTTGCTTAGGCGTTCAGGTGAAGGTTTGTGAACGTATCTGGTGGCAGTGAATTGGTGAATACGATTCACCGTGAATATGATTTTTTTTCTGCTGCTAACACAGGCAGTGACAAACTTCATCTTAACAAATTGCCAAAATAAAGCTCTGATGCACAGTATTGGCTTTAATTATTAGTCAGGAAGGCTCTACAAATTGAAATTACATCCCATTCTTCTACAGTAAGTTAACGCAATTAAACGTTGGTTGCTGCTCTATTTAAACTGCTGAGCCTTGATTACAGCAGAATTTTTTCTCACTGACGTTTATTCTTGGTAGAATTTATCTAACTTTTTAAAAATATATCTCAAAGAGAAGAAGCCAAAAACCTATGTGTTTCTATTGTTTGGGGTTTTTTTTAAGTCAAAATGGAAACGTTTCTTTTGGGGGATCCTGTTGCACTTCAAGTCAGTATCCCAAATGTAATTTGCATGGAATTTTGTTACATGGAAACACTGCTTCGTGTAATGTAGTCAGTGCTGAAGCTGAATACTGTAAGATGGGATGAGAAAATCGGCTCCTAAATGTAAATGCAGCTGAAGTTCTACCAGGAATTGTTAAAAGCTGCAACTTCATTGTGTGCAAAGAAGTCAAGTCAGACTTCAGGGGAAGTTGGGTCAGGACATTTTTTAGGTATTTAGTTCAGCATAGGATCTGAGAAATACTGTCTCTGAGTGAGAGCTCTTCATTTTGCTGGCGTTCAGCTTTAAAGGCAGAATCCCACAAATCCATCTGTCATAATTCATGCTAAATGGTAGGGTAACTTCCTTATACTAGACATAGGAATATTACTTTCAAGATTCTAAAATACAACGTTTCCTCCTTTATTTTCTCTGTAGTTTATAAATAACAGCTGGATTTTGAACTTCCTAGTCCAAACATCAGAAAGACTTTCCAATTCCTGCGTTTTTTTACTAGCATGCATCACACCTTAGAGCTGAGAGAGGAGTATGATATTCATATCATTAGGTTCTTGGCCTGTGATGACTCTTTGGACAAGAAATGCAAGTGCTTATTTAGGAACTGGATTGAGACTAACAGTTCATGTTTTGTAGTGTACTAAACATTCGTTGAAAGGAGAAGAAAATGAAGGACTAACCTGAAGTTTTTAGTCTGTTTCACTTGCAGCTGCTTGGAATAGATGCCTCTGGCTTTTTTGCTTAAAATTGGAATTAGTTAATGAGAACAGCAAAAATCACAAAAAAACAAAACCTCTTGAATCTTTCATACAAATTCCCACTATAAATTTCTGTAATTTGGCCACTCTCCTGTTGGCTTTTTCCCCATTCTATGCTTTGTTGTAATTTATTTCATAATCTTAGACCTGAAAATCTTTGTTTTCCTTGACTTTTCCAGAAAGTGTGGAACTTAATCATTTTGACGTGTTTATTGTTTCCAAGGAAATAACTTTACAGCAGATAATGGCACATTTGGACTCCATTCGAAAAGATATGGTCATCCTGGAGAAAAGTGAATTTGCAAACTTGAGGGCAGAGAATGAGGTACACAAAAGTATTTTAAATTAAGCAGTTAAATTGTAATACATGTCTGGTTATACCTGTTGAGAATTTTTTGTGGAACAAAATATGTAGGTATGGATGCTTCTATCGGAATTGAAAAGTTTGTGGATGACAACTTTTGTGATCATACAAAAATATATTTCAGTTGATAAGATTTGCTCAGCTCTTCTGCAAAGAAAAAAATGTTGGCATCTTTATTTTTGTTTGAGGGTGGTTCTAGTAGAGTCTTATCTTTAGTCGTACAGTGCAGGCAGAGTAGTCAGCCCTCTTTATGCAACAATTTAAACAAGTGATTTAGACGTATTTTGATTTGCTTGACAGCATTTCAGTATTTGTTTTTCTGCTATCCTGAGTCTCAGTATAACAAGTTCATCGTTGTATATCGTTAAAAAATAATATCTTACTTTTGAGCAAAATTTCCAGTAGGTTACATCTGGCCGTATAGACTGAACACACTAATTAGTTTTTTTAATCAAGAGCAAATTGCTCCATTAGGAGAAAAATCTTGTCACAACACTTAATTTTCTGAATTTGTGTAATACTTTTTTTTTTTCCTCAATTACACCTAGAAAATGAAAATTGAATTAGATCAAGTTAAACAGCAGCTAATGGTAAGTAAATAGCAAGTATTTATACATTCAGATTAAGGGAAGTAAACAGTTATTTTCATAATCATTATTTGTTTTAAAGAATGAAACGGGTAAAATCCGAGCTGACAACAAGCTAGATATAAACCTGGAAAGAAGCAGAGTGACAGATATGGTAAGCTGAGCTTTGAAGATATCCTTATCAGTTTTGTTTCTTGTTTTTCCTTACTACAATTGTACAATTGTTTTATTCGCAGTTTACAGATCAAGAGAAGAAACTCATGGAAGCAACTACAGAGTTTCATAAGAAAGTAAGTATTGAACAGAGCCCACTTTATAATATGGAACTATTTTCTTCTTATATGTCATGTAAACTCAAAACTCCCATGAAAGTTAATAGGATTTTTATGTGTCAGAACAAAGTGTGGAACATTCCTCATGTTATGTGTTCATTGTCTAGGTCTGTGGGATTTGTGCTAAACATAACTTGGGTGGAAGGGGTCATGCAAGGTGTCTCTCTCACTTTGAGTGTTTTAATGTGTAGGCTCTTTTACGTGAGGTGTGTGCTATCACCCTGCCCTTCCCCATATTAAAGGCTAAGCTGATCAGCTGTACCAAAGAGGTAGTTTAGCTTCCCACAGCCAAGGAACAGTTTTGGGGCTGGAAATCCTTGGACTAGCATGCAGGAAGTGAAGTCCAAGAGGCTGTGGTGGACAGCCTCATCCCTTTTCTGAATATGGCTTGTGAATGAGTAAATCAACATTTCACAGAAATTTAGGCATCTATCTGTACATTGTAGAATGCTGCCTTTAGGTTGATCAGGTATTGCCACATCAGAGAAAAATCTGTATTTGAATTTTCTTCTTTTCTCTCTCCCTCTTTAATACCCTACTTGGATTATATCGTGTTGCCCAATGTCTTCTAAGGTCACTTAGCAGCTACATATTTTACTTCACTAACAGACTGGACGTTTGGTTTCAAGTGTTTTTCTTTCTCGTTTCTGATAACACGGCATTTCTGTTCCCTTTTGCAAAACTGAAAAGGCTGGAGATCACAGTCAAATATATGTTATCTTCTAATATTTTAGGATTCAAGTACCAACAGTGTTATCTCAGAAATCAGCAATAAAATTGACACTGAAATAGCTTCCTTAAAAACACTTATGGAATCGAATAAACTGGATACAATACGTTATTTGGCAGGTACGTGATAGGCAAGAAAGCAAGTATTCATATATGTTTTGGAACTATAAAATTTTATTCAAATATATTTTTAAAGACCAGAGAGACAACTCTAGGAAATCTTTCTTTTGTAAACTAGTTGTGTTCTTTTGTGTCTCTTTGCATTTTCACGTGTTGCAAACAGAATGATTATGTCTCTGTAGTATATAAGCAGTGCTGTCAGTTGCTGTTCCGAGGAACTGAAGCTGCCTGTAGCATGGAAACAAATGGCTGATGCAGAACAAATCCAAGAAGTCAGCTGTGTAGCAGCAAATAACTGGGGTTGGGGGGAGGTACCCCCTTGAAAACAAAAGTGGCATAAAACATGGAAGTGGTGGGAACATGAGAGCACTGCAGCTGAATTAGGATTGTGCCCAGAACTGGGATCACAAGGAACATGAACTTGGGGTGAGGGGGAGCTAAATAGCCTGTCTACTCTGCCAGCACCTCTCTTTGCTGCAGGGCAGCCATTGTTCCAGAAGCTCTCCTGAGGTCGTCCTTTAAGTTATCCTGAAAGCTTGCTGACAATCAGAACTAGCCTGAGAGTGAAGCAGTATATTTGCATATTCTTATGTTTAGGTGTAAGCTATATTGTGGGCTGGTCTGTTCTCAGATCCTAAAAGTCCTTGTGAATTCTGTTGAATGGAGTATAGAAACAGAGGAACCTCTTGCTTTGAAATCACTATATTTTCCTGCTGCAACCAGTTCTGCCTCCCACTCAGCTTTTGGAAGAAACACATTTTCAGTGTGATAGTATTTATCCTTTTCCCTGCCAAGTAGAACAAATTTAAGTCTGATTTGAGATTGACTTCTCAATATATATGTAACTAGAGAAATTTATATTGCATTAGAGCTGAATTAAAAAAAATAACGCATAACGTTTGGAAGTGAGAACAAGTCCAAAGACAAACCCGGTTAGTTTTATTCTAACATTAACGGAAACAGCAGCTTAACAGTTCTGTAAGACAACAGATCAGGCCTCAGAGGCACTGCTTAGAAATCCTAATGTTATATCAGGTGTGTATATTGTTAGTTTGTTTTGTTAATTTTAATTATGTCTAATGAAAGACCTGTCTTAACCATCTCTCTTATAATACAATTTCTGATAAATGGGAACCTTACTAAAAATTTTGGTAGCCTATTGTGCTCTGTATATCCAGCATAGTTCCACAAACATGTTCCTGAAAACATAATTCCTCAGACTGCTTAATTTGACCTGTCATCTCACAGTTTGGCCAGTACTTCTGTATAGGTTGTTAAATATAAAACAAACATAAAACAGGACACTGCCATTTAAATTTCTTCTGCCCCATCTGTATGCAATTAGTCTTCTGCATGTAGAAGGTGATGAAATGTAGCATTGAGTTAATTATTACCTCTTTTCTTTTAACAGCTTCAGTATTTACTTGCCTAGCAATAGCACTGGGATTTTATAGGTTCTGGAAATAGATGGAATACATAAATGGAATGACTACATCGAATATAGATGGAGAAAAGGTCACCATGGCACATCTGCTAGGCCATCATGTTTGAGCTGTAGATAATCTTGGTACCCTTTTGTTTCGATATTCCTATTGTGCACTAAAAATGTTTTCTTAATAGGTAACACTAAAGATCAAAATAAATGGGGAGGGAAAAGTAGGCAAATACATAGTAATAATTCTGTGTCTCTTATGCAATAATTTATTTATTTCAAGAGACTTTCTACATTAAATCAGAAAGTGTTCCCTAATACATTTCGGAATTAATTTTGTTCTGTCTTTCAGAACATTCTCTATGCTCTCAGCTCCCCTCAAAATGGAAATACTAAACATCTGATACGCCCTTGAAAATATAGGAATATTAATGCTGGATTCCAGCAGACCTACTCTGATCCAAGCAGAGCATTCTAATCTTAAATATAGGAGCTGGATGTTTCTTCAGTTTGTTACTCTCTTTTCTGAGGGGGTTAAAGCATGGCTCCTTGGCAATATATATATAAACACACACTCCCAGGCTTTTCCTAAAGAATCCTCTTTTTCTTGAAAAGTGATTTACCTAGATTCAAAATCTCATTTAAAACTAAGATGTCTCCGTACACTTTTTTTTTTAATACCTTTCACCCATACTCCCAAAGGCCAACAGCATATGGGGAATTTCTCCATCTTTCTCTCTTTCCAAGGGGAGACGTTCTCACTGTATGGCGCCTTGGGCAGATAAATGTTCCTAACTCCTTCCTTCAAGTAACACAGAGTATTTCCAGTAAACCCTGGTGTATTTTCTGAGTATAGGATGTGACTTCTACTGTGACTATACTCAGCATCTCAAATAAAGTTGCTAGTGTGGTGGTGGTTCTCCTCTTCCCAGTCTCTGCCCTTCTCTGGAGCGTTTTGTAATCCCAGGGAAATAAATGGGCCGCACTGACTTCTAAACTAAACTGTGATGGTCATTGCTCTACCTTCTGCAAGTACTTCATGACTTCGATTGCTGAGATGGAACATAATGGGTGGATAGCTTCCAAAACTGAAGCAGTCACATTTTGCTGAGTACAAATGCCTATGCTCAGTTTGAGTCTTTTATTTAAAAGACAAATTCTTCCTGGTTTAAACTTTAAGTAAGAATAGGCCCTTAATGGGCTACAGAGCATAAAATTTTGGATAGTGGCAATTTTTTCTTCTGTTGCGGTTTTATTCTCTTTACAGTTGAATTTGCTGGTACCCTGCAAATTCTGATATTTGTGCATGAAATTATGTATTTGAACATTTTCATTTAAGAAAATAAAATGAATTTGTTACATTTGCTGTATGAGAGACTTCATTGAATTCAGATTACCAGCTTGTAAAAATGAGATTTTTGTAATAGGCACAGCACTACTCTACTGAGGGTGGAGGCTGCTCTTTACAGAGTCTGTGTATTAGTCAAATAGGTATGGGGGTGCTACCAGCAAAGACTTCAGGCTCATGTCTGTTGTAACCGTCACGTATACAAATTCGTCTTGTAGTAAACTCCACCCATTCTGGAAGTTCTCAAAAAGATTCCAGTTGATCGTTTGCACTGTTACTGCATGAGTGAGAATTTAGTACTAGCAGTGATGCAGGAAATCTACTGCAGCTCTTCCCCTTCCCTCCATTTCCCACACACACAGCCTGAAGTGGGTGCTAAAGACTGGATTTTTCCTTTTCAGCTCTTCTTTTTCCTTTAGGTACCTGAGGAGAGGACAGATCAGGATTCAAGCATTATCAAGTTAACTTTTATTAAGTTCTTGTATTATTGAGCTGACTTTTATTATTGAAATCAGAATTGTCACAGTATTATGCATGATGAAGGATCCAATAGGAAAAAGGAATTTCACAATAGCATACAGATGGGAGAAAAATATTTATTATATGTAAAATCATGAAAAGTTTTTTGGGCATGGAGGTCAGGCTTGCCACTTTTAACTGTAATGTGCCCCATAACCTAGTGAAATCTTCACCCCTGAGTTAGACTCGGAGGCCCAGCAGTACGGTTCATGTGGTATGTTGTGAAGGAGTACCTGCAATCTGTATCTGATTTACTTTAGGAAGTAAGGTGCTGTTTTTTAAAACAGTAATACAGAATAGCCTAGCAGATGGGGATACTTTTTTCCAGGCCCAGTAGGGCCTCTGACATCTCTGCAGTTAGGTCTTAAAATGCTGTTTATAATTTGCAAAGCAGTTGCTAAACAGCTACTGGGATAGGAAGAGAAGTCTTACAGTTTAAAAAAAAAAAAGCTGCTTCTGTGATTTAAAAGTATTTTCTAGCCCGGAGAACTAGGAAAATAGTTCACTGAAATTCGAAGATATGAAAACCACAACTCATCTGCAGAACTGGAGCTATCCAGACAGTTTGCACCATCTTGAATAGTGCTGCTCTGCTTTCTAGCAGTTACATAACAGCTTTTCTGCCTCTAGTGACTTATGTTCAGAAAGGCTTGAGAGATGATTAGAAGATGAACCTGGTCCAGCTGTTGTGGAGTAAGACAAGACATACAGCCTGGCTCGGCTGTTTTGGACAGACAGTTGCATTCCTACATCAACATCTTTCTCTAAGCCTGCCTGCCCTTCTTACAAGGTTCATTCATCAGCATCGTTTCACAAACACCCCTCCAGGGCTGCAGGATGGCTTCTTCTTTATTTTCTTTTTCTCTTTGCAAGAATCAGATGTTGCCTCAACTTCCTGAAACAAAGAACACCACCATTAAGCTACAATTATTTAAACACGCTACCTAATAAGATAGGATTTTGAACAACTTTTGAATAACCAGAGAGTATTATGTTCAAAACAAATGCACTAACAGCCCAGACCGTGTTTTATGTTAACAAAATCAGTTACTGAGCCTGCGGTTTGTCAAACAGGACAGTCAAAGGCATGTTCTTGACATGCTCTTTTTCCCCGTGTTGGTAATCTCCTTGCCTGTGACTGAACCCAGCCTGAGCCAAGAGCCTAATGACTTTCTGAGCTATTTCTATACCTATGTTCAATTTCCTGCCCCTGCTGTTTTTAGGGGACGTTAAGAGTGCAGTGAAAGGAACTTGTATTTCTTGTGAACTTTCACACTGCGTGGGGCATTTGGCATGAAGCGCTAACACAAACACTTTTTTTCCTCCCAAGAAAGTAGTTAGTAGTGGTTGGACTAATATTCAGAGTGGTAAGGGTGTTTGTTTGATAAAAATCAAAGCCAGAAATAGATGAAGTGTTCAGCTTGATGGTACACTCAGGCTTAGTGCTGTTGCACTGGCCCTGCTCTACTAGAGTTTGTCTCAGCTGTTGTATACTAGAATAATATTGGAGCCAGACTGACGCTGAGAGCAGAGTTTGGTCCCCTCTACACAGCATGACAGTCACAGTAGGGTAAAATTTTGGAGACCCCTTGTTTGCAGCAGTTATTCAAAGCAGAAGTTTTTGAAAACAAATTTGCCTCAGCAGAAGTTCTCTCCAATCTCAGTTACTGCTAGCAAACTAAGTAATTACAAACACTGTTCTACCCTGGAAATGGGGTGCTATATGTCAAAGTGGTCTCAGATGGCCAGGTGAGTAGAACGGGTAATGTTTCAAGGTGGGCTGTGGACACAGAAAGTGGCTTTTCTTCTGAAGAGGGAGGCACCTGGCCAGCTGGAGGGTCTCCTCAGTGAAGAAAAGTTCAGTGGGAAGCAAACAGCTGTAGAGCACTACAGTGTTGGGGGCGGAGGGTGACAATCCTGCAAGGGAAGGCAGGAAGAGGAGGAAGAAAGTGAGGAAGGGGATGAAGGGAGATGGAACGAGCTGTGCAACATTATGCTACAGCACATGGCGTTCCTGCCTAGAGATAGGTATAAGAAAAAAGTGCAGTATTTCC